CTGTGTTGCAGACAATAAACAGGAAGGAGTTTTGGTTAAGTCCCCCAGGAATACCAGTTAAAAGTGTAAACTTAAGGGAATTACTGGAACTTACTCAGAATCCAAAGAAGAGTTAAAGCTTTTTTTCAGAAAGCTAAAAAAAAAAAAAAAAAAAGAGTACATATCATTAATAGTTAAGGAGTTACTGGCTTTTTTTACTATAACTGAAGCTTATCCCTAATATTTTATGGATACGCTCCAGGGGGAAAAAAACCCTTACCTCAAATGTTTAAATTATTTTAAATTAAAAAAAAGTCTTTTAATTAATTTTCTTAGCATGTCTTGATTAGTATTCCTTTCAGGTTTTATTTTTACAGTGATTAAATGTGTTGTTTTCAGGTCACTACTGAACAAACTTAAGGCTATTCTAGTCTGATAGACCTAAACTCTAATATTTGTATACTTTCCTGCACTACAATTATGGGATTTCCAAAACTTTTAATTATTTTGCTTTAACAGGTGACTGGTAGAAGAGAGAGACCTATTCCTGACTATGTCGAGGAGAAAGTTGGAGAATAAAAGCCTTCCTGGCTTGTTAGCCACATCTCTGCAGACACAAATTAAGACAGACAATTTCCACAATTTTTATATGCTTGAATCGAAAGAGCTAGGAAGGTAAGATTATTCCCATTTATTTTATTTTAGTAAGAGGAATTTCTGCTGCAAGAGAACTCTTTGTGCAATGATAGACCTTTTCTGGCAAACTTTTACGGTAGTAGATGTGGAATGAAGTGTGCCTCTCCCTTTCCCCACTCCCTTCTTTGCAGTATCCAACAAATTCCCTAGGGACCAGGAAAAGGTACAGTGAGACCTAAGTTGCCAGCCTTTTCCATGTCAGAGAGATTTAGCCTGTTTTCATAGGCATGCAGATCTGGGATTATGTTCCTTTTCTTCCATTTACTCTGTCTAGTCACACATCACATTCCAGGTACATAAACTAAAGAAGAGATGACATAGGGTAATACTGCAAGACAAAGAGTGGGGATTTTGAGTTGGTTGTTCCGGTTATTTGGTTGAGTTTTTTGAAGTCCAGAAAACAAAGACCTTTTTCTCTCCCCCTCCCACCCTCAAGCAGTTAGTCTAAGTTTCTAAGAACCTGCTGTTTCAGAGTAGTTTTGCAGCCTGCTTCCCTTGCTCATGTTTGCAGCAGTAAATAAAACAAAAGAAAAAAAAAAACCCTTGGTATTTATGATACTGTTTCAGACATCTGAGTTAATGCTTTTTTGAAATCATTGGGTTAATTCATACCTTGAAAATATTCAGGGAATTGGGTGTAAAGCCATACAAACATAATGCCATGGTCATGTTTCCAAGCTCCTTGAACGGAAGTGGCATGGGTCAGTTTTACAGTTGTGCCTTGCTGTGCTACATAGCGATCCTTTGCACCTGTAGCTTGTTTTGTCAGCAAAGATGCTCCTCTACATGTGATTTTGTAAGCTCTTTAGCCTTCATTGTTCTCTTGGTTGGTTTATTTTTTCCCCCCTAGCAGGTGCTTTATCTGGTACACTTTTATAAAAAGTGTACCTTGCAGCCCATAACTTTCTTCTTTTCTTACCCCTTTGTCAGCTCTAGTTTGAATTCTAGGCTCTTCAGAAGCAATTTATGTGCACCATCCTCTAGAACTCCAGTATTTTTAAAATGCTGGATTTTCAGATTATACATACCTATGAGATGATGTCTAAAGCAAACTAAAGTATAGATTTTGCATGCATTCCAAAACACAGTCTTTAATACTTTCTGTACATGCAAAACCAGGCATAACAAAGTAAGTGCCAAAATGCAAAGAAACAGAAGCAGAGTAGTATGTTTTCCAAACATATTTTTGACTTTTCCTGGCCTAACAGTGTGTGTATGCGTGTTTTTTTTTAATGTTTTAAGTGTTTACAACACTTCATAAGTGATGTAAAATCCACCTTTCTCTGTAGCTTCTCTAAAAGATTTAACATGCTTTCCTTTTCACTTGCAATTTTCTTCTTCCTCTTCAGGTTACTTAGTAAATGGTTCTTTTGTTCTTCTCTGCTTAATCTTCCCAAGTCCCATTTCTTCCTCCCACACCCTTATCTTTTAGGTCCTTTGGTATTTAAGACACTGACTCATAAAACAGGCAGGTTCTCTTTAGTGGGTTAAGTAGTTTTGTCCCCAGCGTGTGGATGTCTTGGCTTCTTTTGAATTAGTTGCATTTCTGTGGTTTATAACTTGGGATATGAAAACAACTTGAAATCAGTTTTTATCTTGTAAAACTGGGCTGTAAAGTGTGATGGTTAAGCAGTTGCTTTGCAGGCAACAAGGAGTGGGAACCACTTTGCTTCCTTCAGTGCCACACTTCAGATCTGACTTCTTTTGCATTTCTGGGGAAATTCCACTCCTCTAAAACAATTTTGTGTCTTAATAATTTTGTCTTAATAATTGGCACACTACAAATACAATATAAACAAGTGAAAATTCTTACATCATCTATCTGGAGATACTGCTGACCCTCAAAACTGTTATACCCACAGCGACTAGAAGGAAGATGTGCAAAAACTATCAGGGAAGATCTTGCTGTTCTCATGAAACTCAACCAGTTCCCCTTTTTTAATTTTAGAGAAACTTTTGCGGTTGACAGGGTAAAACGAGAATGTAAGCTGTGGGGGAGTATCTTAAACTTCGGTATATTATGAAATTCAGCTCAATAACTTCTGATGCTCTGCAGTAATAAGCTGGTTTAACAATTGGGAAAGGACTTCGCCATTTCAGGGTTACAAATAGTTGCTAAAATGAAGACTGTGCATCTATCAGACTGTAAATAACTTTCACCTCTTAAATTAATTTTTCTTTTGAATTTTGTACTCTTACCTTTCTAAATTTGGTGCTTTAAAAAAAGGACAAAGAAATCTGACAACTAGTTGATGTTGAAATAAATGATGACAGAGAAGCTGTTTTGTTGAATTTATTTCTAAATAAGTGATAGCAGTGTGATTAAAGGCCAACTTTACATGTTTAATAATTTAGTCAGATTTGTACAAACTGTATGTAACATATGGTTATTTCCAAATGCAAATCTGATTTTTCATGAGATGCACATACCTTTTTTGATTAAATACTGAAGTCTAGATTTTTCAAAAAAGCCTCAGACATGCTTTTTTTTTTCTAAAGAGATGTTCCATTTAGGCACTGTTTTTTTTGAAGCAGAAGAAAGACAAAGCCTGCAGGGCAACATGGTCTTTTCTACTAGAGAAGCTAATTTAGTTGAAAAAGCGCAGGTCAGATAGCTCGTACTGAGCTTCCTCATCAAGTTTGTTCTCGGTATGCTGTGATAACAAAAAACATGCACGGAAAGGTGTCGTTTTTTCGAAGACCTTAGTGTAGATCTAGTTCTTTGTACACAGTTTTATAACTGTTTTTAGAATTTTACACAATTTATTTTAGCCCTTCAAGTTGTTTTTTTTTTTTTTTAAATGATGTTTTGTGTATCACTTGAAAACACTTTACAAGTATGCAACTAGGCATTTCTGGGAATGCAAAACTTGTGATTATAAAACTTTGTTTTTTCAGGAGTTTATAACTTGGCTTAAAAAACTGCATTTTTTCCCCCTAATTTTTTAAAAGGTCAGCTTGGTGTTTTCACTGCAGTATGTGGTTTTCTTTTAAAAACATTTCTTTGCCAAAATACATTTTTGTTTCCATACCTAAACAGTTGGCTAGGAAATAAAGCAGCGCACTTTGTCTAACTGTAATTGAGAAAGAGAATGCTAAGTAGTGGGTGTCTTGCTGTTAAGATGTTTTTAAACATTTTGCAGATACCTGGGGTTTTTTTTTTTTAACAGTACTACATGATTTGCGGAGGGAAATTCTTTATGACTCTAAAATTTTCTGCACTGAAGACCTTCCCCCCCATCCCAGCATACAAATATGCTTTATTTTCTGTGTTCGTTCTCTACATTTCACAGGGTTTTGCTTTGTTTATTAGTGTATCCTGTAGGTGCTATAATGTGGTTGAGTTTTTTAATATAATATTGCCAAACTGAACAAAGCCTTGAGCAGCCTGGTAGGATCTCATAGCTGGCCCTGCTTTAAGCAGGAGGTTTTGCTGGAGACTTCCAGAAGTCCCTTCCAACCTGAGCTATTCTATGATTCTGTGATCCTACAGTGAGAATGTCCATGTAACCTGATACTCTGATTTAATCTAGGCTGTATGAAGGGAATTGTACTGGGTCTCGCCAAAGCTTCATCTAGCTTAGTGTCCTTTCTCCTACAGTGGCTGAAAGTGAATGTTCAGGGAGTAGCATAAGAACAGGCCAAACATGGCATTCCCCTGATAATTTTTTTTTTTTTAAGTTTCCTATTATTTGCCATGCCTTTTTATTTCTAATGGTAATTCACATAGTTTTTATGTTCTAAGTCTTAATGTTTTCTCTTTTATTTTGTAGAGGAAGATGTGCTGTCGTTAGAAAATGTATAGCTAAATCCACAGGCCAAGAGTATGCAGCTAAATTTTTAAAGAAAAGAAGAAGAGGTCAAGACTGCAAAGCAGAGATTCTTCATGAAATTGCCGTGCTTGAATTAACGAAATCTAATCCTCGCATAGTTAATCTCCATGAAGTCTATGAAACAGCAAATGAAATCATCTTAGTGTTGGAATAGTAAGTATGCCTTCATCAGATGTTCCACATTTGTAGTTACAATCTCTCGCTTTTTGCATGAGTTGCCTGAACACTCAGAAGAATTATAACAGTATGCTATATACATTATGCTAATATTTCATTATGATATGCCTTATAAGCTCTTAGGCACTTTTCTGGTATGATTTTTTTTCATGTAAATGCAAGAGTTGAATCAATTGCTGTTAATTTCAATATTTGGTTTTGTACATGTGTTTTGTTACATCCACAGCTAGTGAGTTATGTCAAACAATACAGAATAAGACATAAAACAAAATACACTGAAACCTATGGTAGTTTTGTACTCAAAATTTAAAAAAAATGGACTGGAAGTTTTTTCTTTAACAAAAAGCTATAAGAAGATAAAAAGAGATTCTTCTTTCTTCTTACTGCATAACTCGGTTTCGTAGGCGATTTCGCTCAATTTCAGATTGAAATATTTTTTGTGCCTTTAAATACTGTATCAGGAGGGTAATTTTGATTAAAACTTGCCTGTTTAATTTGAGCAGATTAGTTCTTCAGCTAGTTGGATTTTTGTAAAAAAAGCTCTGATCAGTTTTCAAGTCAGGCTAACCTAATATAAAACCTGAATACAAACTCGAGAGTGTACTGTTTTGTTTTTTTTTTTTTCCCCTTAAAGAATCTTTCATGCAAGCTGACCAGAGAGAATGTCCTTGCATCCCATAGAAAGTACATATTGCTTCGATGCATCTTAAATCAGACCAAAAAACGTAGCCACTGATACCAAGTACACAGATTTCAGAGAAGCTCAGCATGTCCATGTTCTGTGAACTTCAGTCACTGCTTGACACTTCTTGGTGACTGAAAACTTGCAATTCATTTGCGGGTTCTGAGCTTCTGAATTTAGTGGTTTTGTTGTTTTAAAACTGTTTGGCTTTTGGAGCTGTTTCCTGCAAAATTCCCGTATCTTTTTAGATGCCCTTGTGGCTTCTTATAAGCTCTGAAAACAAGTTTAATTTGGGAATCTAATTTGAATTATCTGTCATGTGTAAATGTTTGTTTGGAATGTAAGGAACAAAAATGCAGTTTGTGAAATTAATTCAGAAAGTCTCTCTCTAGGTACGATTTAAGTTTCATGTACAAAGTATTGGAAGAGCTGTTAATGGTGGTCTGCACACACCATGATAAATTCCTTCAAATTTTCCAATGAATGTAGCTAAATAATCATAAAACCCACCTTTTTTCCTGGAACTAGATGATCCCTAACATACTATTAGTTGTTCTGAGAAGGCTAGAGTAATAAATAATGTAGAAGTAAAGACAAAGTCCAGATGAAAAGTTTTGAAATTCTTATCAAGAACAAGTGCAAGTTCACATAAAAGCCATACTGATTTTCCTGCTTCTTTTTCGCTCAGCTAATTCCATCTTGCTTATTAAAGCTCTGTAATGAAACAATTTCCTTATACTACATTGGTATTAATGGTCTACTTTGTAGTAGGGTTCAGAAGTCTTACCGTAAGGGTTCCTAGTTCTGTTGGGATCAGCAGAGGGCTGATTACACTTCTAAATTATGTCCTTCTGTAGCAGAAGGCATGGATTTTTTTTTTGTTTGTTTCTCATTTTCAGAACTCTAAAGCAGTACTTTAAAAGAATTGCAAGAAATTAGTCTTTTACTCATAAAATAGTTTACAAGATTTCCCATTTAGCCGTATTTTTCCTCCTACATGTGGTCTTCGCTGTTGTTGGATTGTATTGGTGGGGTTCTTTGGAAGATGTAGTAGTAAGAACCAGTTTGTGTAAGCGCACATTTTCTAAATAAAGGAGAGAAATGGATGCTCGCTGTCTGTGAGGACTCCCAAATCCTTTTCAGCGGAGCTGTTCAGCTCTTTACTCATCTGGTTGTCCGCCCATCCAGACCATAATGTAACTTAGATAGAAGAATACTATGGGAGACATACTTCAGCTTGCTAAAGTTGAAGTAAATGACACCCACTGCTCTTCCTCTCTTCTACATTTTGTCATAAAGGCAACTAGGGGAGGCATTACTGATACTCGCATAGCTCCAGCAGGTTAGTGACTGTGTTTATCTATGTGATCCATTATCTAACTTTTTTTATAGACTCTATCATTTTGCTAACAATGAAATTCAGGCTTACTGATCTGTAGTTTTGAGGTAGCCCTTTATCCTTAAGAGAGAGAAACTTCAGGCAGTTAGAGCAGGCTGAATAATAATTTCAAACCCAGTGTGAAAGGAAACAGCTGACACTCTGTCAAAGTGTAGAAGTATAACTAATAAAACACCTGCAACATGGTTATTTCCATGCTTCCTTTATGCTGTACTAATAGTAGGGTTTTCTGTAAGTAAACAACAGCCTTTTGCTGAGGAAGACGTATTTGAGATGCTGTGTGAAAGCAGTCTCATCTTTGTTGCTAGTGCGGAAATGGTAGATTTCAAAGTGACAGAGCTGAGTCCTTGTATTTGTGAATATTCTGTGTCTACTAGAGTTCTGGAAGATACTGCTCACTAACTGGCTAGGCAACTGTGTATTTAATCAGCAGCAGCATGCTAGATTTTCTTCCTGGAACCTCTCTGATAGAAATACCTGATTTTCAGTCTTCCATCAGGAAGGACCTAGGGCGGCAAGTATGCAGTTTCCTCTCACTCCAGAAATAGTTTTCAGCAACTCTAGCTGTTCATTGCATTGTAGTTCTTACATTTACACCACAGCCACATCATGTAAAAAAATGATGATTTTTAGTCCCCAATTCAGAGAATAGGAATAATGCTGGGCTTTCTTGCTTTGAATTACTTATGGAACTAGTCTAATGGAAGAAATTTTAGATTTGACTTGAAAAGAAAGGCTGCTGCTGTTAGGGAATGATGATAGAACTTATCTTCCTGAAGCCATCTTCACACTCACTCACAGGAAAGCATGCTTGAGGGTACCAAAGCATTATGAGGTTTTTAGCCACAAAGTTCTGTTTCACTGTCTCAACTGCTGTTGCCATCTGTGGCAACAAGAAGAAAGAAAGAAAAAACATCATCAGATTTTTTTTTCTTTTTTTCCTTTTCTAACTGCTTATATGATGTATCTTGGCATAAGTATGTGTAAAAAAAAGAAAAAAAAAAAGTAGCAATATTCCCAGCTTCTCTGAGAATATGAATATGATTCTATGAATATATATTATATAAATAGGTACTATATATAAAATTTTTCTTCACTTAAGCTTGAAAATTCAAACTTAATACGTAAATGTTCTTGAATGTGTTTCAGTGCTGCTGGAGGAGAAATATTTGACTTGTGTGTCCCAGATCTGGATGACAGAATTGGTGAAAGGGATATTATAAGACTTATAAGACAAATACTTGAAGGACTTCGCTGCTTGCATGAAAACAATATTGTTCATCTTGATTTAAAGGTGAGACTGCAGCAGACTTTTTATTTTAGTACTTTATCGTCAACTTACTATTATGATAATCAAAGCCATTTGTTAAATACGTAACAAAGATGAGGAGAAAAAGCAGTGCATTAGATTAAATAATTTTTAAAAATAAAATTTAGCAATAAGTATTGCATAATAGAAGCTGAAATGTCATTTAGTACATTGGGATTTTTTGCAGCTTGTATTTTATTAATTGAGAATTAAATATTTTCTATTCTAGCCTCAAAATATTTTGCTGAGCAGTGTCAATCCTCTTGGTGATGTAAAAATTGTAGATTTTGGTATGTCTCGGAAGCTTGAAAATTCTAGTGAACTGCGGCAGATCATGGGAACAACAGAGTATCTAGGTATGGAAGAGTTGCTTCACAATTTCTAATGTGTGGTTTTGAGAAAACAGAAATAGTTCTTGTAATGTGCATATCAACTTATCAGTCATTACTGGAGAAAGAATGATAAGACAAGGCAACATGTTTTGAGCTGTTCTTTTTTTGGAGTAGTCAGCAAACATTTGCACCAAAAAAATCCCGAATTATATCAATAAGTTCACCTCTAGTTTCATGCTGTAGCATTTGCTATGACACAGACTGTTAAATCAACAAGAAATTTTGGCTGCTAAATTCTTTTGATTAGAGTTGAAATACAACATTAGCATGTACAAAGAAATGTTCTTTGAATTAGGAATGCTATTTAGGATGATGATTTAATGAGATGAAAATATTCCTCAGAAAGGGAAAGATTACCATTAACACTGGGCCCTCTCTGAGGGACAGGTTTCTTTAATGATCTGACTACACTCAATTTTAAGAGCATTTCAATCTGTAGTGAATAACTTGCTATCTAGCATATGCTAACAGCCACTGATCCTAAAATTGGCTTGGTCGTCTGGCTTTGCAGTGTTAACGTGCCAAAGGCTTTATGCATTCCTCTTAAAAAGCTATATACTTGAAAACCTCTTAGAAGAATCTTTTATGTGCATGCATCTGATTAGAAAATATCTTGGGACTTGGATAGAATAGACTTTAGGCCATATAGTGCCGTTTTAGTGTGAACCTGTTCAGCATCGGTGTGTCTAATCAAACAGAAATAACTTTTTTCCACCCTTGTGGCTTGAAAATAAAAAACTCTATTATTGAAACTGCACGTTTAGTCTCATAATAATGGTTGGCAAAAAACTGCCGGAAATCTAGTGTATGAGTCAAGGCCACTTGAATAATGTATCTATTAAAGTGTTTTTCTTCTCCCCATCTCTTTCTCTAGCTCCAGAAATCCTAAACTATGATCCTATTACCACAGCTACAGATATGTGGTAGGTAATATATGTTAATTCATTTTATTGAGGTAGGCGTGACCACTTAACAATCTACGGGCCAGATCCAGACTCTGATGCAGTTTTATCTGGCTTCCAAGAATACCCTTCTGTTGGTGTGCTGACCAAAAGAGGGAGAGTTGGCAGGGGAAGGAGCCCTCAGGATATAATTCAGGGCTTACAGGAATATGGGTCTGTTGCATACCTCGTAGGGAACGCAGATGGCTTCTGAGCATGCAAAGTCTAGGTATTTGTTCGAAGGGAACAATAAGAATGATTGGATAGCATACTTTAGGTATTAGTTACTCTTGGATGACATGCTTCAGGTATTAACTACTCTTGGACACTCCGCCCTCCCCACTTTTGTACCATTAAATAGTTTTATTATACAAATGATGAGAAGTATTTTAACTTTCTACTTCTTATCTTTAGAGCAATATCTGCAGAATGAGTCATAAAAAATGAGACAAGTACCTTAAACTAATCCACAACTTTATTAAGTATACTTTGTGGCCTATTAATTTCATGAACTATGTTGGTGTAAAGGCTAGCTTTGGGATGTTTTCTTAAAAACATAAAATATTCATATGCTCTTCTTAGGCATCTAAATAATTAAAATTCAGTTTTAAAAGTTGCTGTGTTCTAGTTACTCCTTTGAAATTCTCAACTTGTAATAGTAAATAAATTTGTTCCTGAATTTTTTTTAACCACTTATTATTTGCCTGCTTTTGTGGGAAGACATAAAAACAAACTACTGGCGCTCTACTCAAAATGACAAACAGAGCAGTTGCATGTTTCTACACTGTAATGAGTACTAACGTTTGATCTATCAGATCACAAAACCATTTTTATTATGCATCAAGAAACCATCTAAGACTTACAATAATTCACATGATTTGTGGAACTCACGTTCATGTTCTTAGAGAAGAAAAATCTCAGCAAGAGGATATTGTAACACAAATGTTGATTGTACAGAAAGGTTGACTAAATCTCAGCCTTTGACACTTCATCCAGAATTACAGTGAAAGATGGTTTTTATTTAAATGCAAATTAGAAAGTCTATCATCCAGAATTGCCATATGTCAAGGATGGGCTGTGTAAAAGTGGTATTTTTCCTAACAATCTCAGTGGGAAGAAAAGGGTATACTGAAAGTAAGCAATTTTCAAAAATCCCTTCCTTGAGATACATACATAGCTTTCCTTGTGTGTGCATGTGCATACATGCTTCAGTCACATAAAATTGAGATGTCATATGATGTTTCTAATTCTTGAGTGTGGCATACATCAGGAAGCTTGATCTGCAGCACAATAAATGTGGGGGGTATATTGTTTAGGTATGCTATACATTGTGTTCTTATCTCAGGAACATAGGTGTAATTTCATACATGCTGCTGACACAAGAATCTCCATTTGTGGGAGCTGATAATCAAGAAACTTACCTTAATATATCTCAAGTTAATGTGGATTATTCAGAAGAAACATTTTCATCAGTTTCACAGCCTGCCAAAGACTTCATTCAAAAACTTCTCATAAAAAATCCACAGTAAGTAACAAACTCCTCCAGGCAAGAATCTTATCTTTTATGTTTGTGGAGCACCTAGAAAAAGTGAATGTTAATTTGGGAGCTTAATACCCCTGATATGATCAGTCAGACATTTCACAATGCATTGGTATTATCAGCTGGATATTTAAAAGTGTAGATTTATACTTTTCCATAATATATGAAAAGGATCTTTGGTTCACTGTCTGGCTATTATTGTAGTCAGGCTTGTGCTTTGAGTTTTGTATTTTGAGTTTGTTTGTATTTTCATTCAGAGGACAGATTATTAACAAATCTGATGAAATATATTCTAGAAAGGTCACATTCTTGTCTATAATTTAACTTTTTATTGCACAATTTGGAGAGACAAAATGCAATCTTTTTGATGCAGTGCTTTCTTGTTTCCTGACTTATCTTTAATGTATCTTTTTACTTTAATAATTTTATATAAAAACATGGCAGTCTTGTGACTGAGCATATATTCTTCAGAAATATATAGTGTTTTGCCATGTTCAGTCTTTAAAAAAAAATGTTCTCAATTGAAAGTACAAACTTCTTTTTGTTTGTAAGGCGCATTTCCATAACTTTGCATTCTTTGGGAGTTCAGACTCTAATCAAGGCCTTTCAAAGCAGCTGAACTTTGAGAAGATAGTCTTTGAGAGTGGGAGAATTACAGACATTAACTGTGTCTATTCTTGCTGTATAGCATTAAATCTGGATTTTTTTTAAACTGTTGGCACCAGCAAATGCAGTAAAAAGACAAAAAAACACCCCCCCAAAAAACTCCAACAAAACACACCACCACCTTCCCCCCCCCCAAAAAAAAAACACAAAACAAAAACAAACCAAAAAACAACAAACCTAAAGGAAAACACCCTAAAAGGTATATTGGGGGGAATAATATTGTAAAGTCAGTTAGTCATGTTCTACTAGGCATGGTCAGGTATTATCAATTCTAGTGCTACGTATTGTCATTTGTGGTGAGAGAGTAGTCCCGGTCTTCTTCAGAGAGCCTGCGGCAAGCAGGAGTGACCCTGTTGTTTGGTTGCAAAAGAGGTTCTTTGATAGGAGGGGACGATGGGAGATGATATCCACTTCGACTAAATAAGGAGTCCATATAAACTCATGTCTGGACAAGATCAAGGATGAACAGTCCTTTCTATTTTGGCTTCTCACATAGAGGGTTTGTCAATATCTGGAATAACTCACAAAAACCATAGTATCATGAGGGAAGCAATTATGAAGAGCCTGCTTTGATAATTGTTAGTGTGGACCTGTGGGATGTTTGACGTTCCGTCACAGTTACTAGTCTACTTGCTTTCTTGCTTCTGGGCATCTTGGAGTCTTTGCTATACCCTCAATAACCTTTTTTTTCCCCCGTTCTAATTCTTGATGACTATACCTTCTTGCATCTTAAGAGGAAAAATCTGTCCCTCAACTAGTCAACTCTGTAAAGCTGCAGTCTCTGACCAAAAAAAATTCACGTGTTCCGGTAGAGTTAAGGACAAGTAGTGGGCTCTATTGCATTTCCAGCAAGTTCTGTGGAACTTAACAATTCAAAACGTGATGAAAACTGTAGTAGCACTAAATTAGGTTATCCAAAGGAACCATTTGGTAAGTCTGTATTTTGTTTGGTAGTACCTACACTTTGGAAGGGTTTACACCAGTTTATGATGAATTGCAAGAGTAAAACACTGCAAAATGTAGATAGAGTTGATGACATCATGTTATTTGGCCCTCCTTGAAAGCCCAATGACTGAATATTCATTAGCCTCCCTGTTTACAATGGTCTGTATAAAACATAGGACTTCAAAAGCATAAGAACTTGCACATATATATTTACAATGTTGAAAACATTCCAAGGGACTAAATGAATACCAGCTGAGAAATACCTGTTCCTTGTTCTGATGAAAAGCTTACCAGTTCTGACACTCAGCAGTAGGGGAAACTATCAACTAAAATTTAGATGCATGTTGCCAATACTTAACTATAATAGGGTCTAATGTGTTTTTTAGCAGCAGTGGTAGTGGTGGAAAAACAGCAATATTGACTCTTTAGTGTCAATTCTGCTTAAGATTTCTTAGCATGTGTCAGAGATATTTTAATTACCTTTTTAGTATTTCTGAAATTAACTTAAACAACTTTACCCTTTTCTCTTTCAAAGGGAAAGACCCACAGTAGAGGCCTGTCTTTCTCATTTGTGGTTGCAGCAAGGGGAGTTCATACTCTTGTGTAGCCCTGAAGAAACTTATTGCTCTTCTCCGATGTCAGGACACGCCACAAAATGCTCAGAAGAGCAGAATATAAAATCCAGTTGTAATGGTACGTGTAGCAACAAGGAGGACAAAGAAAACATTCCAGAGGACAGCAGTACAGTCTCCAAACGTTTCCGTTTTGATGATTCATTGCAGTATCCCCAAGACTTCATGACAGACTTCATATGTTAATGTGTGATATAGACTTTTATAAAATGAATTTAGCATAATCTGTTCCAGTGGCGAATATAAGATTATGGCTTGCCAATTCATGCAGCATTGGCATACTGGAAATGCACTTTGATTCTTTTATGCTGGTGCTACCTTTTCTATCCATTGCTGGCAATGGATTTAACTCCTGAGAAATTGGGGTTGTTGCACCAATAAAATGAATTATTTTTTTTAAGAATATATAATGAAATATTTTTGCACTTTTCAAGTTTTAGTCCAAAAATGATGCCAGAGTGAACAAACCAAAACCTGGAAAGGAGTTTGTTTAAACTCAGGCTTTGCCAAACAGTGGTTGAATACATGCACTCTTTTATGACTCGCTCTAATGAGAAATTGGTCTAAGCAGGAAAACTGAATCTAGGTGTCTTACTGGGCTTATTTGTGACCACCATTCTCATCACTTTAAATGGAAGCTAAAGTTGGTATGTTTTGGGAATATGATACATCTGATGGGGCCATTTGGAAAACTGCTTTCTCTCTAGGATCATTAATAGTTAAGGAAATGTTTCTGCCTTATAGAACTGGTCCACTTAGGGATTATAATGCATACTCTGTGTGTTTTTCCTGTGTTGGATCTCTGGAATGCTTGAATAGAAAACAGGTAGATTGTCAGGCCTTGTGCTAGTGGTCCTTTGGTTCTTATCAGTAAGTTATATTTGAAGAGGATGAGGGTCCCATGCTGATGTGAATATTTGATACACTTGTTAGTTTGCTTTCATAAAACCTCTGAAATAGTATCGTCTAACTGTATTGACCTATTATTCATCTTAACAAAAAAACAAACAAAACCCACAAAAAACTACACCCACACAAAAAAAACCCAAAACAGAAAGCCTCTTTAGAGTTAAAAGTAATAACTGAATAAACTGAAAATAACCATTTTTTGCCAGTGAAGCTGCAATTAAAAGCTTTTCATTATGCCCCTCTAATGCAGTGCATCTTTCTGTCAATTATTGTTAGCCGTAATAGCTTCACGCCTGCTCTGAGAAACGGACTGCAGTGTGTTAGTATTTAAAGCCAAACTACCTAATAATTGTTCTAAGCCTTTACATTTGGGTTGTTTAGCGGGTTTGTTATTTTTTTAAGTTATATCCCTTCCACTTCCTGTTTCTAGGCTCTGAGGAAATAATGCGTATGTCAAGTTTTGACTTACAGCAAATGCCAATCATGCCTTAACAGCCTGAAGTTAATACTGACAAGATAAAATCCTAATCGTAACACTGAGGCTGGAAGTCTTTTTGTGTAGGAAAAACTCTTATAAATATTTTGAAAGTAAATGGCACTTTAAAATACTTCTGGGATTTTCCACTCCTCAGAGCTTAGACCTAAGTGTCTTTGATTTGGATTTGGTTTGTTTTGTATAATAAAATATCACAATCTGATAATCTTTTTCAAGTGTGCCTGTGGACTTGTCAATAGTTAGGCAGATTGAGGTTTTGGAACAACATATGATTGAGAGGTGAACACGAGTGGTAAAAGGTTGTATTTTATCTTTCTTGGCACAAGGAAGGAACAGGTTTTTTTACAAATAGATTGCAATATACGGTATCACCATAATGCATGGGGGAATTCAGGACTATTATCTTTATTTTGGGTGACACTCATGTCGACAAGTGAGAAGTCGACTGAGGTGTAAGGCATGTAAGACTATCTTTCAGCTTATGTTTGTCAGAAGAAAAAGTTTTCCAAGACTTAATCTTATGTGAAATGAAGTACCGGCTGTATTCAGCATGGATGAAGCTCAGATGCCTAGGTATAAATGAACCACACTGAGTCTCCTCTGTATTAATTCTCATATAACTTTTTTCAGTGATACTGATAATATATATTATTATAAAATGACTTTGCTGGAGGCAGTTGTTGGATTGTGTTCAGGTACCTTATACCCTTACTTTTCAAAGTCCTTGGCTTTTCCCAGTTGGAGTCTTTTCTAACCTTTTGTTTTTTCTACCAGCATGGAGTCTAATTTGAACTCGGTAAATTAAAAATATGAACTATTTTATACATACTCAGAAGTTAAAGTTCACTTAAGATAAAGAAGAAAATGTCAAAAAGCTGCAACAGATAAAGGTAGAAAAGAATGTTTTTAAAATTGTTGAATTTTAAAATTCTGCGAAAATATTAGTGAACTGAAATTGCAACAGGGAAGCTTGTGAAAGTCTTCTTACGTTAGTATTCTATTTTTAACATCTGGAAAATAAAGCTGAAAGCATATGCCAGCACTTTACGACAAAGTTGTTATTCCTTAAGATTTTTATCATGGTATCTGATGTTTACATTTCTTACTACTTTTGGAGCTAACTTATCTTTAAATTTAAATAAATGAAAATTGGTCTTATCCAAGGAACTTAAGTTTTGAAGACTTTATTTTTACTTTATGTAAACTTAAAATATACCTTGAATCAAATTGTGTTTGGATGAGTGCATTTGATTTATTTAAAAATATTATTGTGCATGCATAACTTCAATTGAATGTAAATACATACATTGTAAACAATTGTTAGCCCGTCTTGCTTCCTGCCATATTACTGGGAATTACCAAGTGTAAATGAGTGATGAGTAACATTTTAAGATGACTGAAGTCATATTTCTATGCAGCTCATTACCTTTTTATATTAAAAAAAAAATAAACTTTGCCTTTTTTCAAAACTTCTGTGTTTTCATTTCTTCACAGATTCAGAGAGTGATTGAGGTTGGAAGGGACCTCTGGAGGTCATGTTGTCCAACCCCCCTGCTCAAGCAGGGCTACCTAGACCTGGTTGGCCAGGACCATGTCCAGATGTCTTTTGAGTATCTCCAAGGAAGGAGACTCCACCTGTCTGGGCAACCTGTTCCAGTGCTCAGTCATCCTCATAGTAAAAAAAGTATTTCCTTATGTTCAGACGGAACCTCCAGTGTTTCAGTTTGTGCCCATTCCCTCCTGTCCTGTCACTGGGCACTGCTGACAAGAGCCTGGCTCCATCTTCTTTGCACCTTCCTTTCAGATACTTATATGTGTTGATAAGATCCCCCTGAGCCTTTTCTTCTCTAGGCTGAACAGTCCCAGCTGCCTCAGCCTTTCCTCATAGGAGAGATGCTCCAGTCCCTTAATCATCTTTGTGGCCCTTTGTTGGACTCTCAGGTACGTCTATGTCTCTCATGTACTGAGAAGCCCAGAACTGGACACACTACTCCTGTGCTTAGTCGAAGGGAAGGATCATCTCCATCAATCTGCTGGTGATACTTTGCCTAATGCAGCCCGTGACACCATTAGCTGCCTTTGTGGCAAGGGCACACTGCTGGCTCATGTTCAACTTGGTGTCCACCAGGACCCCATGTCCTTTTCTGCAAAGGTGTTTTCCAGTTTTCCAGCTGTGTGGCCCCAGCATATATCAGTGTATGGGATTGTTCCTCCACAGGTGCAGAGCTATGCACTTCTTGTTTAACTTCATGAGTTTCCTGTCAGCCCATTTCTCCAGCTTGCAGAGGTCCCTATGGATGGCAGCATGACCCTCTGGTGTATCAGCCACTCCTTCCAGTTTTGTGTCATCTGCAGCCTTGCTGGGGGTATGCTCTGCCCCATCATCTAGATCATTAATGAAGATGTTAAACAGGACTGGACCCAGTATTGACCCCTGGGGTACACTGCTTGTTACTGACCTCTAACTAGACTTTGTTCCACTGATCACCACACCTTGGCCATTCAGCCAGTTTTCAGTCCACCTCACTGTCTCCTCATCTAGCCCATACATCACAGCCTGACTGTGAGGATCTTAAGGGAGACAGTGTCAAAGGCCTTGCTGAGGCCTAGGTGGGCAATGTCCACTGCTCTCCATCTACCGGCCTGTCATTTCACCACAGGAGTTTATCAAGTTGCTCAAGCACAACTTCCCCTTGGTGAATCCATGCTGACTACTCCTGATGAATCATGAACTTACCAGCTAACTTCCTGGAACTCTTTTATATGTGCCTGTTTTTAAAGTTTTATGTTCCTATATATAATAGTCTTAATGTCTTGCAGTATTTACTGAGGCGATACCTTTATGTTAAATTCTAATGGCTTTTGCTGAATGACCATGTAAGGAAACTTAAATGGAATGTTTGTTACGCATATTAGCCTCCTAGGGCACTAATTGTACATTTGTTTCATTTTCAAGTAGATAGCTGAATTTTAAAAAAATAACAATTTTCCTTTAGAAAAGGAATTACACTCAAAAGAGGTGGTAACCCCTTGTGGCCTGGACAATGTTCCCTACAAAGGCGCATTTCATTGAGGAAATGAAAGCTTTCTCATTGTTAGAAATGCACAAATGAGCTTTCTTTTTAGTGAAAGAAATAGTGTATTCATGTGCTTGGTTTGGTGGTGCTTGCAGCATTAAGTTCAGAAATCATCTGAGTATTTACATTTCCTGCATTGAAGGTTCTTACCAGGAATGCTACCTTTTTTTTCTTTTTTTTTTTTTTTTTCTCTAGAAAACAAACTACTGTGTTTAACACTAGTAGTGGTTTGAGACAGCTTGAAATTTCTGTGTTTTCAAAAGGCCTTCTAAGGAAGGAGACAAACTAGAAAAATGCATTGTCTAGATAATACCTGACCATCTTCTTACTGGGACAGTTGTGCTTGTACTCTTGCCAAGTAAGGTAAGTTACTTGGAAAAAGCTTGGAAAAATACACTGTAGAATTGGGGCAAGATAAAAGCATGCAATTAATGTGCGTGTGTTTCAGAAACCAATCATCCTGTGCCTTAAGAACCTGGCAGCTGACAGAGTTGAAAATACTGCTTGGCCCACTCGGCGTTGGAGAAGTGAGCAAGATACAGAATGAGTCAGTGTCCAGAAAGTCTACCAAATTAATGGGAACATTACAAAGCTGAACTGCCGAGTCACCTACCTGTGCATGAGAGTGTAAGGAAATTTCTTAATTAAAAGCAGGTACATGAATTACGACATAAAAATTCTTACCTGGTTAGCCCGTGTAGTGTTAGCCCTAATAAATAAGGGCTAGACTATTACATAAAGTATTCAAAGAATCAATCATTTCATGTGATAGCGCTAGTTTTTTTTCCTTTCACAACACAACAGGAAGATAAAGGATGATTTTTGACCCAGTAACACCTGTGACAAAAGTGTTGCCTTCCAGTGAAATGAAGACTTCACCTCTGAGAAGAGTGTGAACAGAGCGTTCCTGTGACACACAGGATTTGCATCCAGAGTCAGTAAGTCAGCATACCTACATTGACCACAAAGTATTCGTATTTCCTTTACTATTCTGATATTCTTGAGAGTAAATGAAGACTCCTTTTTCTTTTTTAAACTGGCACTGATAGGTGCTCAAGCTCATTCTAGTGTTCTTTCAGAGTGGCTGTGAAGATGAAATAGGCATACGAGTTCTGGCCTGTAACTTGCTGTTTCTGTTGATGCAGATGACCTCAGATCTCTTTGCTGTCTTTAAAATAATCTTTTCTGTGTTCCAGTAACTGTAAGATTGTGTTGTACATCTGTGCTGTTACTATGGTGGCTGTTCTAAAACAATCTGCAAAGTGATCTTTCCTTGATGGTCAGTAGTTCCATTGTGATACGAGCAGAAGACTCACCTGAGTAAACACATGCTTCGTATAGCACAGCATATTTCTGAGAATGATTTTTACCAACATTATGTAAATAACTATCACTCTTCTTTTAGGGAAGAAAATACTATTTTAGTCCTGTCTTCAATTTTATTTTTGTGCATTAATTATTCCATACTCAAGAGATACGCATAACAAGACCTGACATAATAAAGATCATAAAGTTTAAAAAAAAAATCTTTTTGAAATAG